GTGTTGACTTCAATGTTCACTTTTATATTTACATACGCTCTATCTCTAATGTTGAACACTTTATTCCATAAATATAGCACACCTTGAAAGTATATTTCTTCATATATATATATATATATATATATATATATATATATATATATATATATATATATATTAGATAGAAAAGAGGAAAATAGTGAATAAAGTAAAAGGAACAAGGATTATCAATGTGAAAGCTGAACTTGAAGAAACAAGTTCAATTTGTGCGCATTCGTTTCACTCTAACAAACTTAGAAAAGACATGAATCTCTATCTCCCTGATATGTCATCACCCAGAAAGCTCAAACATTTCTGAACTGCATTGTCAAAAATAGAGATATAAGATATACTTCATTAGAATTTAATCATTTATATTGTACTCTACTATGTATTATATTGAAATCGTTTTTTACATTAAAAACAAAAACAAAAAAAAAAAAAGATTTTAAAAATGACCTCAACGATTATATTCGGATTTAACGCACTTTCACTTTTAACGGACATATGTTTTAAATCGTTTTTTTTTTCATTTGTTGTCTCATTTTTAGCATGAAAATTTAACACTATTGTTTTCAGTGAGGGACATCGGTTAGTTACGAGAAAATACTATCAAATTTAATAATAATAATAATAATAATAATAATAATAATAATAATAATAAAAAGGAATTCTTTTTAGAGACTATCACCCAAGAATCTATTTAATTCTCTGAGAAATGTTATAACAGATGAAGGGAAATGTGACACCGAAATCCGAAGTCGCAAAAGGTGCCTTACAAAAGCTAAACAACATTGTTTTCCAAACGTTCCACCCTCGTATTTTCCTAATTATTATTTAAAACTGAGCAAAAAGAAACTATCGAATGCAGTGCATCTAACAAGAAAGAAGTAAAGGAAAGAAATATTTTCTTAAAAACAAGAAATCTAGAAGAACATACCTGAAAAATAAAGAAAAATAAATGTTAATGGTGAATAAAACTTTTTTTAAAAATCTATTTTTGACCTAATACAAAGCCCAAGAGCCTCCCAAAGTAGAGGTTTATTCAAATAAGCTGCAAAAATTTGAGTAACCGTTAAAAAAATCAACCAGTTAATAAAAATCTTGCCTGGAACGCCTACTGGGACTGAAGCTCACCTCAAGTGGCACTCAGACCTAAAATCTCGTACATAAAATCTCGGACCTAAAATCTCGTACATAAAATCTCGTACATAAAATCTTGGACATAAAATCTCGTACATAAAATCTCGTACATAAAATCTCGTACATAAAATCTCGGACATGCGATCCATCGCTAAAGATGTCAGAAAAATATTTTTTTGAAATAATTTATACTAGAAAAATATTTTTTTTTGGAGATAATGATTTACAGATAGAAGTCCTACTAATTAACCCGTAGCTGGGGGAGAAGAGATGGATTCATACATTTTCCAAAGGTATTTGCGCATAACTGAATATAACGAACTCGACTGGAATTGGAACTCGCTTCTCCGATTTCTAATTTCGAGCCCTTATGCATTACACCACCCGCGCATCCAAGCTTTCAGCACCTCGTATTCCAAAGCGGTCACCCATCTAGATACTGACAAGGCCCGACGTTGCTTAACTTTGGTGATTGTACGAGAACCAATGTTTCAACGTATATGGCCGTAGAGTTCCAAGCAAGAAAACTCGTTGAGAGTGTAACTGGACTCAATGTTTGCTGAGTGATTATGAAACGCTTATAAGATGAAAAATATGGTCGTGAGTAAAAGATCTACTCAAAGTGTGAATTCCACAACAAAGTCGTCAAAATCAAACAATGGAAATTCAACTCTGTAATAAAAATCCGACGACGCACAAGAATAGCATAAAATGTTTTTTTTTTTTTTTTTTTCAGAAACCAAGGAATTGCTGGAGCGGAATTATGAATTACAAACAAGAAAAAAAAAAGAGCTGCACTGTTACGTAGCGTATACAGCAGTGAATGCTTTGATGATTTCAGTACAAATAAAAGAAAGAAACTTGAAGCAACCAAGATGATGTTCTTCCAATGAAAGTTGAGAATGCCGTGGAAAGAACATATGACAAATGAGCACGTTTTAAAGAGAGAAAAAAATTGTGTCTATCAGAAAGTGATAATCCAAATTTTGGGGAACATATATTGCTTAAGAAGGCTTAGAGAATTTAACACTTACAAGGCCCCTCGAAGACACAAGAAACAGATGAAACCAGAGAGCAACTTTCCTTGACAAGTTTGAAGAAATCGATGGAGGGGAAATATACCACGAAGACAAAGTAGAAGCATAAAAGAAGTATTGCTAAAAACTACAAAAGAAAGGAAGCTGTGAAGAGTCATGACTCAGAAAGAGTAATAGGCTATATATATATATATATATATATATATATATATATATATATATATATATATATATATATATATATATATATATATATATATATATAGAGAGAGAGAGAGAGAGAGAGAGAGAGGGGGGTTCTATATGATTTATTTGTGTTTTACTGTGCTTTTTTTGCAACCTTTGCTATGTAGTTTAAGTGGTTTTAAATAGTTCTATCTTCGGCGAGGTGCTGTTGAACATTCAGTGTTTTATTTATGACCCATGTTTTTTTCTTTGTTTACGATGACTAGATCCGGTCTCCTGGCCTGGTTTAGATAATCCATCTGCATTTGAATGCCTCAAAAGAGATATCTGCATGATCAACAACGAACAGATTTTTTGGTTTTTATACGATTCCAAGTAAATGACCAATCCTTTCCAGTCATGCTTATTTTCCGAATCGATCCGAGCTACTTTGCCAAATTCACTTATATAATTACAAGTTTCAGTTTCAGCAAAAACAAAATTTCTAATATTTCTGTGATTTTTTACCTATTTTGAATTTTACTTACCTAGTTAAGTAAACCTGTAGCCTGCAGTAGAAGAAATCGTTTATGTTCAACGTCTAATATCTATTTTAAAAATAATTTCCGGCCTTGACTTGAGTGAAAATTTCGACTCAAAATTCAGTTTATTAATACACTCTCGTAATTCAGTTTAGCGCTTCTTATCGATACTCACAGACTTCCCTCCACCACATAACTTTATTCAAGGTCGCTATTAACTTAATGTTTTTGGTGGCAATAAAAGAATTAATGATTAAACACTGAATTTTCGAAATTCTATACACAGAAAATCTGAGATAAAAATCGAAAGCCAGTTTTACTGATAGACTAAGACTATTATATGTATAACGTAAATGTATTGCTAAGGTATTTAACTATAAATATGCACTGAAAATCTGGAAGAAAGGGGTTATCTATGGTCAGGAATTAATGCAAGCATTAATGAGAGAACAGATCTATTATGTGTATAACGCAAATGCAATGTTAATGTTTTGTTTTTTTTTTACGATATAAATCCATTGAAAATAAGAAAGAGATTGTTCATGATTAGGAATTAATACAAATGTTAACGACAGAATAGGTTTTTTACATTTACGTATAATGTAAAAGTTTTTTTGTTTTTTTTATGACAAATTCATTGAAAATGAAGAACGGGATTTTTATTGAGCAGAAATGAATGCAGTCATTACAGACCAAATAATGGTATTTTGTATATAATTCTGTATTGAAAATCTTTTCAAATACTGTTTAATTGTAACATTATTCCAAATTTAAAATAGCTAACGCGAAAAGATTTCAGAGTCAGATCAAAAACTTACACAAAAAGACGATTTGCGGATGCATATTAAAACAGCAGACGCCAGATTTAAAATTTGCGAATGCATTAGAATAGTGCTGAGGATGTATAAAAATAGAATTTTCGACGAATTATTATTGAAATTAGTAAATTCAAAAGTCTTTCAAATAAATAAAAAATAGGAGTAGATAGGTTCGCCTTCCCGGTATTTTGAACAGGAGAGGTTATCCCTTGTTTCCTGTTTAGGACTGGGTTTCTGGTTACTTCTAAAGTTTTCTCTTTCACTCGCAGTAGCCTTTTGCGTTTTAGCGGCATTATCGCTTTGTTTGGGGTTAACCGATTAAAGAAATTGAGACTTTGCAATAGGTTGTTGTCAGCCAACTCAAAACTAAAATTTTGTCCACGCAAATGACACCAAGCTACTCGAAGCGGTTGGAGATTGACAGATTTACCAACGATTGAAACTACAAGCCAGCTTATCTAAGTCATTGCACTTGAACTTCCTTTTCTTCTGTAAATTGCGAGCAGTGACATTTACCGAAATGCAATGAAGTTTCTTTGTGTCATGTACATGCGCATTTCTACGAATATTTCAAAAACGTTTCTAATAAAAGTTTACTGTAGAAAGATGCACCCAGAGAGCTTAACTTAAATATATATATAAAAAAAGTCCTTGTTTTAAAAATATAAATAAATTACACTTCTATTGTTTTAGCAATTATTGGAAGTTTATGATATATGAACTGTGACTACAAGTAATTACTAATGCCACAAAATATTCCCATATGAACGCATATAAATAATTGCATTTTAATAAGCAAAAAGTATAATGACGAAGAAAAGTCAGTTAGATTGTTATTAAAAACACATGAGCTTATTTTTTATTAAATGTCACATTTTTTATATTTTATTAAATATCACAGTTTCTTTATTTAAGCAGTTAAATACATATTTCACTTGAAAATCTACAAACATTCTTAAATTTTCATTTTTTTTTTTCTGAAACATATTCCAGTAGTGTTATTTGCAAGAAATGCAAATACACGAAAACAGGCCTACATTTTACAATTTCACGCTATTTCTTTTTGAGAAAACGATGTTTTTCCAAGAATAGGAAAAAAAGAAATCTTACAGCAGTATTCACACGATACGACGATGGCAACTATTTTTTAAAATCTTCTTTTGTTATGAAATCTATTGGTTTTTACTCCTACTGCTAACACAGGCATTACCTCCCTTTCATAAGCAATCTCACCGAACTCACGATAAAAATGATTCCCGGAGAAAATGCTGACGTCATTACATACACTGACCAATGAGAGCTGACCACCAGTTGCGTTGTAATAAAATAGACGGAAATGAGGAAAGGTAGAAAGAGGGGGTTGATGGCAATGAAGAGGAAAGGGAAGAGAAATCGTAGAACGAAACGCTATGCTTACGACAAGCAGGTTGATACAAGAAGCGGTGGAAAGTTTGTGCAACGTCGTACGTTACACGGCATCTGGACACTCGAGAAAGAGAGAAGAAAGAAAAAAAAGAGAGAGAAGAGAAGAAAAAAGAGAGAGGAAATGTATTGTATGTGGTTAAATTGGGAGTGTGTATGAGTTGATTGTTTATTGATCTTTCGTTTGTGCTAACAAGGGTGATGGGTGATTTAGTCGCAGGCTCAATGGCATTCTTTTTTTCCTGAACGTTGGGATGTTTAGCAAGGTTATTATTGTTTGTGTTCGTGTGTTTGTTGGTAAAACCAAATATTTAAAAACAAAAATGAAGCTTTACTTAAAGACGAAAATTTTATTTCGTTTTTTAAAACAATCTGGATTCTTTGTTTACTTTCTTTACTCCAGAAATTGATTTTCGCAGATTTTTATTTTTTTTTTTTTTTGAGCGGGAGGGTCATTTTTTTTTTAAACTGTTATTTAGAAACTCTTGAAATTAAATGTATTTTTATATAAAGGCTAATACAAAAACAGAAGGACATTTAACAGGGAAATATCTACTCTAAAGGGGGCTTTGCTTAGGAGATGTTTATATCGCTTAGTTCACTTTTCTTCCAGGTTGGCGCGGTATTTTGCTTAAAATTCTTTGCAGCCTGGTGGATAGTACTGCGCCAAACATGACGGTTAGAAGCTATGATTGTGTGTGTGCGTGTGGAGGGGAGCTAATGTTACTCGGAGTGAGGGCCTTCTTTAGGATGTCTTCTTCAGGGCACCCCTGTTACAGTGGTCATATAACAGTTCGCTATGTGGTATAATTTTTCACGGGTGATAATTTTCCGTACTAGAAAGATATTCACAAAATTGATTAAAATGCGATTACTTTTGTGAATATGTTTAATTCCATTTCTTCTTTGTTTAATTTCTTTTCATAAATGAAAAAAACAAACAAACAAATTATTTGCCAGTCGTTAAATTCAACTGCAGTAATTCGTTCCAGACAAGACTTGAACTTTCATCAAGCATCACAAGTACAATTTATGTCATATAACAATCGCTTAACATTTGAACCCGAAAAAATCAAGCCTTTTTTCATCTTTATTCTGGTGTTGATTTTTCGCATTGGTTTATTTGCATTCTTCATAGTAGTCGCAATAATTTGATAGACATTTTAATTTGAGGAGCGTGCCTCGGTTATACATGTGGCAGAGAGCAATGCTCACCCTTGAAATATTAATAATTATAGTAATACAGAATTTTGTTTATAAAATGAGAAAAATAATCTGTAGTTAAGTTTGTGTCCAGATAATCTGTGCTTCGTCAGAATTATTAATACAAAATTTTAAAACAATAGTATATATATACTATTATATAATATATAATATATAAGCTATGGAATACCAATTGAGAAGAGACTGTTCATTTAATCGTAAAGGGGGAAAGGTCAGTAATCGGGTTGTATTCTAAGTTTACCAAACACCCCGGGTTTTTGTCGCTACCACTGCGTTTATTTATGCGCGTTTTTGTGCGAAAACAAACAGTCGAAGTTGACGTTGGAATTGGAGCTGGGTGAAGTTAGTTGACAAGTAGTCGACCAGAGGGAGAGAGATAGGTAGTGAGAGTAAAAGCGTCCGCTTGCTGCTGTAATAAAAGAGGAAGTGAACTCAAGTTATCTGCAATATTGGCGCAATACTGCCAGCGAACCCTCTTATATTCTGATAGTGAAATAATTACGACAACTACTAAGAAAAAAAAAGGATGAACCAGAAAACTACTTCTCTTCTTTCAAAATTATTTGCAATATTTTTTTTTATGGACTTTACACTACTTTCTTGTAAAAGAAGCATTATTATGTTTGTACTAATTTATTTCTTATATACATATACATAAATTTTTCTTTGGACTCGAATCGACTTGTTCATATTTGTTTTGTTTTTTTGCTTGGCCCGATTCTCGCCCCAAAGAACTTACAGGTAGACCAGCTGAATCTTCCAGGATCTACGATTTGTTAATTGCTTTCCAGGATCAAAACAATCACAACGTGGCTGGAAAGTGGAATCAAATCGACATTGCGAACCGGAGACTTTGATTGAACCTGAAATACTGGACCAGGACAGGACCAACCGCCGGTCTTGTAGAGTACATCTATCCAGTAAGGTCAGGAAATACCTCCTATATATATACAGGTGAGATATTAGTGCCAATGGTGTCTTCATCTAACTAATGTCTTGCAGACGATGGTTAGTCCTTTTTCCAAGTATAATTCGTACACATTGCCCGGCCCAGAAATTGAACTCACAACCTGCCGAATCCATGATTCTGAAATACAAAAGTCAATTATCTTTTTGGGCTATGCCATGGGATGCTCTTTTTCATGGGATGATCAAACCATGTGTTAAGGATGACATACTTGTTTTGGGTAACAAAGATTTAGCAAGAGTTCTCCATTGCTGTTTGAGGATTCCGTTTCAAAGCTGATGTTTTCTTAGCATCAAAAGAGCAAAAATACTTGAGGTGGCATTAAAATACTTATTAATCTACAGTTTTCTGGGGTTTCGTGTGGGTGTTTTTTTGTTTTTTTTTTTGTTTTTTTTCAAATATTCCGTTAATTTAATCCTATGTTGAATTTTTCTTTTTCTTAAACACTTTTTTTCAGTTGGGTCATAGACTGATATTCACTCGGATTTTACAGACATGATCAACAATTTTGGTAGATAGCAGTCTTTCTGGCTGCTGTACAATAATGTCTATAAGAATAACTGGTAGTTTGCTTATTGCAATTACAACTACATTGTTTACATTATTCGGACTATTGCCCTCATCAATGTTGTCATATTTATCCCAACGTTTGGGCTATTGTACGCTCCGACCTCCTTCAGGGGGTTGGAATGTCGAACTGAACCCTTTATTTCGCTCGCTGGGTTAGACTGTTCTAGTTCCATGTGCCATGTCTAATGGATGTCAGTTATCAGTTATCTCCTGTTAATTCACCTCTCCAAGTTCTCCACTTCCTTAACCACATGTTGCGTTTTCTCCTTGGGGCCAGTCCAAAATAAATTGTCTTCCAAATGCGCAATAGACTCACTGCGATGCTGCCGCATTTCTTGCCTTCAGATAACATCAAAATTTGTTTTCTTGCATTGACATTAACAAGGAAGTAGCCCACATAGGGTAATGGCGCCTGCGTTCTTGTCAAAGTAATGTTCTAGGACATAGCCCGGCGTTCTGTCTACTTTTCAAAACAGAGTCCTCAGGGAACGTTATCAGCTGGCATTTTAAATTCATCTTAACCATTAATCTCACCCGCAGTTGAAATGTACTTTCTAACAACGGATCTAGCTTTGAAATTTTACCATAGAACCGCGCACCAGATGTGATGGTGAATGAGCAAGGTAGACAAGAGATTCTCAACAGTGACTGATTAATCCCGCAGAAAAAATGACTATTCATGAATGCACAGTATATATATATATATATATATATATATATATATATATATATATATATATATATAGGGTGTCCATAAAGTTCGTGTGCACTTTAAAAAATTTATAACTTTATTTGTATTTGCGATAGAAATAATCTGTAAAAAATGCTATAAAGTTTAATGTCTCTAGTTTTAACTATAGTTATATAGTTATTGAATAATTCTTTACCACAAAATTTGCAATAATTTTTAGATAAGAAAAAAAAAATTTTTTTTTCCAGAATCAATTTGATCCATGGCTTCAACTGACAAAAAAGTAAACTGGGTCCTTTGGTTAGCTGAAGTGGAATCTACTATTGCTGTACAAAGAAAGTTTAGAATTGAATACAATAAAGAACCACCTCATAGGAACACTATTGCTAAATGGATGAAAAAATTTAAAGAGACAAGCTCCGTCCATGATAAGCCATGGTCTGGAAGGTCATGTATCAGCGACGAAAGTGTTTCATCCATAGAAAAATACTTTACAGCAAGTCCAAGAAAGTCTGTAAGACATGCATCATTAATGCTCAGGCTTCCAAAGTCTAGTGTGCATAAGATTCTGCAGGCAAAACTTCACATGAAAGCTTACAAAATTCAATTACATCAACAGTTGTTAGAAGAGGATTATTATGTACGGATAACTTTCTGTCATCAGTTCAATGACAAATTTGGCAATGATGAGGCATTTGTGAGTAGTTTTGCTGTTCTCTGATGAAGCATCATTTCACATTAGTAGCAAGGTCATATATACCCAAGTATAGGATTGGTGTATACGAAATAAATTCCAATAACCAAAAAAATACTATTCTTAAAAGAGTGCTCCATACAGAGTAGAGCAAATATAATTATTTATTCGAAAATTATAACATAAATATGTTATAAAATCACTACAAAAATAGCCATTTTTTCAACACTTCTGGTGTCTTATCAAGTGATGGTGTTGAATGTTGAATAAAGGGTTTTATCTTTCTCATCTACCCCTACGTGAAGATAACAGGTAGATCACCGAACAGTTGACATCTGTTCTCTCTATCTCTCGCTTCCTCAAAGAATCGATACACAGTAATAAATTGATTAAAAAAGAAACCCAAAGAAAACCGCCTGTCTTTGATTTAATCTCTGAAGCAGCATTTGGTCCCTAGAATCCAGTGGGGACACGCGACACAACAGTACGCTGAACAAGATCGGCTTACATCACCGATGACTGCATAGGAGACTCTTACTGAAATCGAGACACAAAGAGGTCGATTTACAGTTTTGCCTGGAGAATAAAATTAAAATTTTGAAATCATGCATTGTTTAGAAAGAAAAATCAGCCTAATTAGCTCTGATGACAATCACAGAGTTTGATTTTGTTATGCTTCGGTCTACAAAGAAAAGTACTTTGGTATCAAACGATAAAGACAACGGTGGAAACGTCATGATCTGTGATTTTGTGATCTTTCATGAGACCTGTGGGTTGTATTCCACTGACGAAATCATCAATGTTCAAGGTCACTGAAATACATGGGGTCCTCACTAAAATTGACATCATTTTGTAGTCTAATAATATAGCCAATTCTCGGTCTTGATCGCAAATTTTAACAAAATGTGTAAAAACTAAATCTAGACTTATCTAAATGAGAATCTATCAGGAAGATGAATCGGACGTGCTGGTGATAATGGCAATGAGCTGTTGAAATTTGCCACGTTCACCTGACCTGACATCTTGTGATATTGTTCTGTGGGGTTATTTGAAAGGACAGGTCTATATCTCCCCTCTCCCTACAATCTTAAGCAGAGAATCGCTGAGGAGCTGGAGAATGTTACGCAAAACATGCTACAGCGTGTTTGGCAGGAGTTGAACGACTGACGTGATGTGTGTTGTGTCACAGTTGGTGCGCATATTTGGCATTTGTGAAGCTTTGTGTAATCGGTTATAAAAGCTACATCTCTGTGAATATCTTGTTCGGATTTTGATAAATAAATCTTTTATCGTTCAACATTTCGTTTGCCTGGGGCATGTTGTTACTCAGATATTCACATTTTAAATGACGTCAATTTTGGGCGGACACTGTATATTAAAAGGAAACAGGTTGTCTCAAGCGCTTGAAAAGACGAGCTATATCCAAAATACTCCGTTAAAAATAAAAATAAAAGCAATGATTCCGAAGAAGCAAAAAGTTAAAAATGCTCGATTGACATTGCATGTTGTTGGATTTAAATTCAAATTAACAATTTTGCAATGTACTGAAGCGAAAAACAGAAGAAGGATAATCATCAATTAAGACCCATTTCAAAGTGTCTCTTGAGCTAGTGAAGTCAATACCGTCAAGGCTGTAATAAAAGATAATGCTGGCCACATCAAATATTTATTTTAAATAAACTTTTTATGAGGGCATCAGTTTGTCTTGTTGAAATGTTAAAGTCTAATGTCTAAAATCTAAGGTAAGATCGGCACTGGCCAAGATAAACAGGAACAAATCGGCCGGACTAGATGGGATTGTAATTGAGATTACGGAAATAATAAATGAAATATAAGACAGTGGCGAAATACCGGAAAACATTAATAGATCCATCTCCGTAGTGCTGCTTAAGGAGCAAGATGCAATCGAATTCGAAATTCAACGGCCAATCACCTTAATAAGACACATAACTAAGCTTTTCAATCGGATTCTGATGAAGAAGCGTGTAGAAGAATTATACCAGGAATAGAGAAAGAACAGTCATTAATAACACTGGAACAAGAAATGCAATATTTGTAATCAGAACGCTATCAGCGAAAGAGAGAAAGAGAGAGAGAGAGAGTGAGAGAGAAAGAGAGAGTGAGAGAGAAAGAGAGAGAGAGAGAGTGAGAGAGTGAGAGAGAGAGAGAAAGAGAGAGAGAAAGAGAAAGAGAGAGAGAGATGTACAACTATATTTCATTGACTCTACAAAAGAATCTGGCAAGATTGTAGCAAAGATGATGAATTAGTGGAGGTTTGTCAATATTCCAACGGTCGCCAAACAATCACAAAAAAGCCCGACTGTTGCGAATTTGAAACATAAATTTCGAACTAACGCGAATCGTACTGTGAACGGGCTTGTTACTCCTAGACTCCCAATACCCCAATATAGTGAACGGCCGCTCATATCCGAGTTTTTCTGTCTACTGGGGCGGCTAGCCAATTTTTATTGCAACTATGCTGAGCGGACCTTAGTTACAGTTTCTGGGAAAGAACGCATTATCTGGCGTGATCAATCTCGGTCACGATTACTTGTGACTTTGTGTTAGCACAACCATCGACAAATAATTCTGTCTACCCAATTTCACTCACAAAGTGGTACGATTTTCAAGCACTTTCCAAAGGTGGTGCACGCTGGGATCGCCTCCCTTGTCTGTTAACACCAAGAAATCACATTCCTGATAAATCGACCATGATGAAAATGGAACTCGAGTCTCATGGTCTAAACACTCAGTCAGGGTCAAGCATGAAAAAGTTGCCGCTCTGTGTTGACCTCAATGTCCACGTTTATGTTTTTGATATTGAGCACTTTTATCAATAAATATAGCATACATTAAAACTATATTTTTACCACATATATGTATATATAATAAGATCCGACAAGAAAAACCCAGATCAGAGTTAAAATACATTTTCAAAATATTTCACATATTAAATAATTAAACAGGGATTTGGGTTTACTCAACGAATATAGTTTCCACGGGGATTCTTCTAAGTAACAACAACAACATTCCCTGGAAGAGTGAGTCCCTCTTCTTTGTTTATCGCTCGTTTAGTTGAAAAAGGACACAGGGGTGTCCGAAATTTCCGATTTTAAAATCTTTCTCTTCGTGCTTCAATTTAGTCAAAAGGCCTACTAATATATAATATATATCATATATATATATAATAAATATCATCAATATTATTGCCAATATTGTTATAATTTTGTTGTCTTTTTATTCCTCAAAGGTCATTAACAGGCCTATTAAATAAATATATATGTGTGTTTGCGTGCGCGTGTGTGTGTGTGTGTGTGCGCATACTCACTCGCTACATAGATGATCAAGGCAGTTATTTCGAAGGTGGTAACTATGTGTTAGTGGAAATAGTTATGAATAATTATCTTAAAATTTTTGTAACTTTAAGAATCGCCCTGTATGCACCATGACAGGGTTGTATTGTTTTAATACAGAGGATTGGGAAATATTTTTCATTCTCTAAATAAGCGGATCTTTGTAACCGGAACCAGATCGCAAACTATGAGTTGTTATTTTATTTTATTTTTCAGATTATCGCTCACGTAACACGCGTAATTGATTAACCCGTCTCCTTCTCTTCCTCAATCTCTCCCTTTCTCTTTCTTTCTTTCTCTCTCTCTCTCTCTCTCTCTCTCTCTTTCTTTCTCAATTACGTTATTTTCCAAGAAACGGTATTTCTATTACTTAAAACACGTCCCTTCCTTTTTCTTTGTTATTATGTTTAGACAAAGTTTCTCGTTCCACCTTTTCTGAAAACAGAGAAACTGACGATACAACTGTAAACAGGTTTACAGTGTTCATTACTTATTATTTAATGATCTTGTTTTGGGAACACAGAAAATAGAAGCCTATAAACTAAGTGCAGTGCAACATGTTTGCCTATTTTCAAGTTAGGTAAGAAGACAAAATGACTGGTTGTTAGCAAGAGAAACAACCCAAAATGCAAATTACAATTTGGAGTTTTCAAAATCAAACAAGTTCAGAAATTTACATATCTGGGTAGTGGTGTTTTTAATCGAAATGCGAAGGCGCATTCGAATAGCAAAAGATGCTTCCCAAAAACTAAGCAAAGGAATAAGAAAAAATTCGTTAGAAACAAAAAATAGTGCTAAATGCCATGTCAGTCGTCCTATGCAATAGTGAATGCTGAGCAATTTCCTCACAGATGAAGAAAAAACTTGCTGCAATAGAGATGTAGTTCTACAGAAAGATACTGAGAATATTATGGACAGAATATGTGGGCAACGAAGAAGTTTTAAAGGAAATAAAGACAAAAGAGAAAATTACACGTTAAATCAGACAGAGACAATTAAAATTTCTGGAATGCATAATAAGAAAAAGAAGGCATGGAAAATATGAGACGAACAAGGAGACATCGAAGGCAAGAGGGATAGAAGAAAATGACAAGTAATCTACTTGATGAATGGCCAAGGGAAGGGATGGTAAAAAGACGAAACATTGGTAAGAGCTTCGAAGAATAGGAAGTTGGGGAGAGCCATGATTACCCAGGTTCTGCAGAGACACGACATGCAAAAGAAGACAGTAGCAAAAGCTGAATCTGAAGATGATTACTGAAGCGTATGGAAGTTTGGAAGCAGTACTCTTGTTAGTACTCTTTTAAACACTTTTGTCCGTCGTCTTGGGAACGAAATACAAGTGCCGGCACGATTCATTTATTCCTTTCAATTCCCAACACCATGCCACCATCTTCGGTATTGTTCATATTTGGTACAGTTCGCGTATTATTTTTCGATTCGTTGTTCCAATTTAAAAAAAAAACAAAAAAAAACTTTCCGGTGGAATAATCTACGGACCAATTTTAAAATTTATTTATTTCTGGACCAATTTTATATAACAAAAAGACAAAACTTATTAAGAGTTACAAGGGACGGGAAGATGTGATGGGCCGTGATCGCCTATGTACTGAAGGGACACGGCTCATAAAAGAAGAATAACAATCTTCTAAAAAAAAAAAAAAAAGGTTTTTTGTTATTCCCGAGTCTGGCTGGAAGTAACCTTCAAGCTATAAGACGCTATCTAATGGTTCGCTTTCAAACTTCATATTAGAACTCGGTTTCTCGTCTGCTGATGCTTCCCCGTGTTTTACAAAAGTCTGTTGAGTAATTAACGCCAAATATTTCGCCTAACTTCAATGTTGATGGGATCATCATTTAAAACAGATTGCAAGCTAACACTTCCAAATTCTTGTGAACTACCGCTACATGTAGTTTATCTGCTAAAACATATTCAACTTTGTCGCCATTCCTAAAACATTCACGATACGAGTTGTACCAAATACAAGTGTCATATGTAATAATTATGCCAGTCAGATTTGATCTTCAAAAATTTAAATGTAATGCTAATCGTTATCTTCTTTCTTCCGAATATCTTTTCTTTTAGCGTTCTCACTCCTTAATATTTTTCTTGTATTCTCTCACACCCAATAACCCCCTATCTACTATACCAAACCAAGAATTTTGAAGAACTTAAAGGGCGAATACAAGAAGTTATGTCTTCCTTAACACAAGTATTCCTAGTGAAGCCAGTTGTAGCGATTCTTGGGCGGCTCAGAAGCTGTTAGTGAAATCTGGCGCTCATATCGAATTTTAAATAAAACCTCATGCTGAACGCTTTCCTCTCATATCCATTTCTTGTAAAATTATAGTTAATAAATAAATTAAAAGTATTTTAAAATGGTTTGGTTTGGTTTGTTTTACGGCATATCAACCTCAATGTGTCATTTAATGCCGACAAAATTTTTATTGCTGGTAATATTTTGTTTTATCAAAAATCTATTTCTGGTAATATTTTTCCTTCAAAAATGTATTGCTGGTGATATTTTTGTCAAAAATGTATTAATAGTAATATTTATTTTTTAAAAACATAGTTGGTATTTTTTTCAAAAAAGTATTGATGGTAATAATTTTTTAAAGTATTTCTGGTATTAAAACCTATTTTTACACTTTCATGGTGTTTTGACCCCAGTTTCGGAGTTAACTATTTGCCCATAGCTGGGACCCTAACAGGTGCTACCACCCCGGGTCAGGTTGGACCTGGGAACACCAACAATTAAGAGGTGGTTCCACACTCCTCTAAACCTCCTCATCAGAGGCCTTGCTGCTGGACGTAGTTTATCGTCATATCAAGGACGGGGATGTTGTTTATCGTCATACCCAGGACGGATTTTAAAATGGAGAGTTACTTTTCAAACACTGTATATTAACTGATGCGTTTGAATTACTTTCAGATCAATTGAATATTTGGATTTTTGTTGGTATACTCGTTGAATTTGGAATTATTAATGGAAAATGATAGCATAATGTCTTGCTCGAGTAGGGCAGTAAATTAGGCTGGGGCTGGACTGAAACATAAGTCCCGCACCTCAATGTTACATCATTAAAAAATACCTTGTATTGTATAAAACTGGGCACAAAATAAATTAGTAATAGTTTCGAATTTGTTTCTGTTTAGAAAACATTGCCATTAAAAAATCAGTGATAGTAGAATAATTTATTGGACCCTGTCTAGCAAAAATGTCCCAAGAAATAGGGATCTGCAGAGACGCGGATCTATTAAGATAAACTGGTTCTCAATCGGGTATTTTAGCAATTCAAAGGGTTTTTCAATTTCTCATGTCATTTTTAAGTTTATCTGGATACCAAACAACACATGTTCCCGTTCGGTCACCGAAGTTAAGCAACGTCAAGTCTAGTCAATACCTAGATGGGTGACAGTTTGGGAATACCAGGAAATGTAAGCTTGAATGTGCGGGTGATGCAGTGGATAATGGCTCGGAATTTTTAATCGGAGAGCTGAAAGGTATGGATCCACCTCTTCTCCCTCCAGCTATGGGTTAATTAGTAGAACTTTTAATAGTAAATTATTATTATCGCCAAAAATTCTTGCACTCTAAAAATATTCTTCTGGCTTTAAATAACACGCAAAGTGTTGGTAAGTCGTAGAAAATTCATCAATCAGTCAGTGGATTCCAAACGAAAAATTACTTCTTCCTATCGTTGATATGGGATAAATCCTCGTATCTGTATTCTTAGTTTCTCAGAAATAAATCATTATTTTTTCCTTTGATTTTTAGGGAGCCAATTGTGACACTATTTCTATTTAGAAAGGAAAAGGTCAAAAGCTACATAATATATCAAATAGATAAGCAGTTGTCACGGTG